TCACCTGTTATTCATCTTCAAAGTTCACCACAAAGGCACTGAAATCAGCTGAAACCTTTCTTCAGAGTCTTTGTTATGATCTTTGAGGATCTTTAAGAATGAATTACTTCACATTACAAGTAGCCAGAGAGGCCAGTGAGGGCTTGTTATAAAGCTCTTACTGCTTGTGTAGCACTACCCCCTTAGGAGTTGCAAAAGATTTGGGTCCCCCTATAGTCCTGCACAGCCAGACAACATGCATTTTCCTCAGACGTGCTTTTCAGCTTGCATGCAGGAAACAGTAACCAGTCCTTGAGTTTTTTTTTTTTTTTTTTCAGTTTATTAGGGGTATTGGAACTTGGATGGGGTTAAGGGATACATGGGATGCCCAGGGGAACTGTGAACGGAGGATAAAACACCTAAGCAACAATGTACAAGTCTTTTAGATAGCAAATTCTTCTGAGGGTATGCTGTTACACAGTTAATATTTATGTTAATGTACATGAGAATTCATATAGTTTATTTTTTGTACCATTTCCTATGGACATTTCTATAGTTAGTTATGCTGCCATCCAGTGGCCTTATTTGGTAATGCATTTGTTTTACATTACCTCCCTGAGATCTATGACACAATTCCTTTGTATATGAAGCTCCTCCCTTCTTCTTGAGTTCAGCACTTCCTGTGTCATGGAGGCAGCTAACAGTCCACATGTATTCTGTATAGTACGCTACAGAAAGTATCATCTTTTGACCGCATAATACTGGAAACCATTCATTCTGCTGTATCCTGTTGTCACATGTACAGAATAAAGCAACTTCTGGATGAACACAGTATTGGTGAGTTCAGCTATCTGATAAGGATTGCCCACAGTGATTATATCTGCGTTATACAGGCTAGGCAGAGAGGTCTCACAAGGGATAAATCTCTATCACAACAATCTGAGTCAGAATAGAGGGAGCTCTTCAGCCTCTCCTGGTATTCCTCCCCAGACCCCAAATGAAATATTTTTTTCACCCAGCTGCTGCGTATAGAGTGAGTCAGGTTTCCCACCCAAATGCTCCTTTCCCCTTAACTGGCCTAGAAGGGTGTAGGATTACGCACTCAGTCCTTTTTTCTGTGAGCTGGTGGGTTGGTAGCTGCCTTCAGGCCTCTCGCTAGGCTGGCTCCTTCCCTGCTCCACAAGTGGTCCTTGCTGTTGAGGCCGTTGAGGTCTAAATGATCCTCCTTTCAAGTGTGCTGCCTGTAGGTAGGCCCCTTCCCACTGAGCCCCCTCCCAGGCCCCTACAGCTCTTACACCCGAACTCTCCTGCCTCTGAGCAGACTCAGCCACTCTTAAGGCCTGTCCTGATCCCATGCCAAGCCCTCCTGCTTGGGGGATTGGACAGGATCCCTTTAAAAGTGCAGACCAACTTCTTTTCACACCCACCCACTGAGTTCTAGAGTCTTCTCCAAGTCTCTAGATTAGGGGGAGGTATCAGTGAGCTGATCTGCAGAGCCTCTCACCCTGATCCAAATTTGGCCTTCTGACTATCACCCAGGCTTCTGCTCACCCATCTAACAAAGAAAAATAATTGGCTACCTCCCCTACTGATTCACATATTGCTCTAGGTCAGCGATCCAGAAGGTATTGATGTGAATGGATTATCATAAAGGTCTGGCAAATAGCATTTTCAGAAGGACTGTAGTAACTGCCTCCAAATGTTAGTAATGACTTTCTTTTATAAATAAGACTGGCAAAATTTGCAGTTTTTTCAATGATTCCTTATTTTACATCCAAGCACACCTTTGTCACTTAGCACCATAAGTGACGCAACTTTTCTCTGCAGACTTGGAGGTCCATTGAGACCAGAGCCTCCATTCTGTTGCTGATAAAGTGAATGAAGTTGAAGGATTTGGGCAGTGATTGTTAGGTCTTGTAATTGTTAAATATGTGTAGAATTGTTCCACCCAGCTTCATTTAAATTCCTTCTTCCCTTTTAATATTAACAACATGAGCAGTGCCATTTACCTCTTATAACTGAGGCCAAGAAACCTGCTGTATATGAAGTTTAGTTTGTTTTCTTTTCAGCTTAATTGGCTGAGATCAAACCACAAGCATTCTGCTAAGCTGACATGGTTTTTGGAAATTCTATATACCATCACCTGAAATCCATAAAACCTTGTCTGGTTGTTCCATACGGCACCATGGACAGGGGGCTGCAAATAAGAAAAAAGGATATTGCTTTGTTGGTGGGGGTGGGGTTATCGGTTAGGGGGTTGCCACCAGGGCCTCATAAACTTTCCGGTGGCTTTAAAACTCACTCCCTGACAATAAATGTTTCCCCCCCAAGGCCCCTGATGTCTCATTAAAGGGAACATGTCACCAGAAAAAAAAAGACATATGGGGACTTTTTATCCTCTGTGTGATTAAAATGAATGTTTTTTAGTAAAAATAGGTCAAATATTAAAGTAACACCCAAGCACTTAAAATGAGTGTAAAGGCAAACATTTTTTTTTTTTTTTTTTTAAATAACAAACATGTCAGACTTACTTTCTCTGTGCAATGGTTTTGACAGAGCATCCCCAATCCTCCTCCTCTCAGGCCTACCGCTGGCACTCCTGGCCCCTCCCCCCCCCCCCTGCCAAGTATGCTCTGGGGGCACTCCTGCATGCTTGCTCCCGTGCCGGCTCTGTTTTTCCATTGACACAGAGCGTTGCTCAGCCTTGTCCTCCGCTCCCTCCTCATAGGATCTAATTGATAGCAGCGGGAGCCAATGGCTGCTGCTCTTGCCACTCTGTCCAATAAGGAGAGAGAGAGCCGAGAGAACTGCTGCTCTCAGGCACATCGCTGGATCTAGATTCTGCTCCTGTACGTATTTTTTTTTTGGGGGGGGCTACATGCAGAAAGTTTTTTTTGTACCTTTAAAGTGGTTCTAAATCCTGAAGCTTTTTACCTTCCTGCATTCTATGCATGAAGTTAAATAAAACTTAAGTGCGCAGCTTTCCCCTCAGCCCTACCCCCTCCTATACTCACCTGAGCCAGATTATGATCCATTGATGTGCACAAGAGCAGAAGCTCTCCTGGGTATCTACCTTCTCATTGGCTGAGACACAGCAGCGGACATCATTGGCTTCTGCTGCTGTCAATCACAGTCAGTGAGAAGGGAGCGGGGGGGAAAGGGGGCAAGCATAGACACACATAGACAGCTCAGAAGCAAGCACGCACGAGTACTCCTAGAGCAAGCAACTTGCTCTGGGGGCACTCAGTAGGGGCGGGGGATCCGAGAAGAGGAGAATTGGGGCTGCTCATTGCAAAACCTGTGCACAGAGCAGGTAAGTATGACATGTTTGTTATGTAAAATAAAACTCAGAACCTTGACAATCACTTTAATGCATACAATGCTTTAAGGTAAAAAAACCTCTGCCTTTAGAACCACTTTGAGCTCCTCTCCACCCCCACATACACGCATGTACGAAGGCAAACAGGCGTCGGGAGCACATGTACATGAAAAAACATGGATTGTTCTACACATGTTACATATTGCCTTGCACGCCAGAGTGAGATCAATAATTCTATGTTCATTATTTATGGGTGACTCTAAACTGATGATCTGTAGGGACTTTTACAGCGTCGCCTACGGGAGATTTAGGATACCAACGTTTGTCACGGTTTCATGGGTGCACACAATTTTAAGGTTTGACATGCCTGGGTATCTATTTATTCACCGCAGCTTCATTTTTTATATTATGCCAAACAATTGGGTAATATATTTTGTTTGTGTGCTCTAAAAGGATAAGTTCACCTTTTGACAAAAAAAATAACAAATGCACATTTTTTAGTAGGTATTGTTGCAGGATCCTGTAAAGCATTACACCATCGATCAGCTGATCGCTCGTGCCATGCAGGTCTCTTGCAGACCTGTCAGTATATCAGCTTTCCTGTACAAGCAAGCAGATACACTGAAAGGAAGAATCAATGAACTACCACGGTGCTTCACAGCGCTGTGGTAGTCCACTGACAACTACAAACCAACATCTGCAAAGGATATTGGTACTTGTAGTATGCTCAGTCACAGAACTCTGAATGAATGACGCTGCCGTGTGGGTGAAGCCCACACTGTTTGCTTTTAAATGTGACAGCTTGTACAGGGAACTTCTCCCCATACTGCTGTCACAGGGGGAGATGGCAGCAGCTGCAGCATTGACAACATGTTACATGGTCCAACCTAAAAACAGGTGTAACATGTAACATGTTCCCAAAGGTGAACTTATCCTTTTAAACTTTAGTGTATTTGTAATTAAAATTTTGTGCTTGATAAACACTTACGCTAATATCATGTGACACAAAAATATGGAACTACCACTACTATTTAATTCTTTAGGGCCTCTGCTTTCAGAAAATATATTATGTTTTATTTTAATCTTCAGACCTAAAATGAGTTGTTAAATGTGCTCAAAAAAAGCGCTGGCAGTGTAAGGGTTAAGATAGTTCCATCTAAATGCAGGAAAAACATGTCAGAGGCATAACATTTCTTTATACTCCTCTGATAACGCCATATTTAGAAAAGCTGAACGCAGCAGCGTTGGTGTGAACGAGGTCTTGTACAGAGCAGGAGGAGGAGGAAACTTGCACAAGTAACCCCCCGGAATTCACTAGTTGCCTCCATGCTAACCAGTGCCGATGTAAGTCTGCACCGACTCCAGGATTTCACAATCGTTCAGGGTTTATTTGCTTTTGTGATGTGAGAGGAAGCTGCCGTTTATTGTGTTTGGCATCCAATGTAATGATATTAATGGACGCCAGTGGACCACTAGAACAATGGGATAAACTTTGGCTGCCTTACTGCTAAGTGCTGTTAGTGGTCTATTAAATTCAAAGCACAAGCTGGCTTATGGAAGAGGAGTGCTGATACTATTGATATGAGAAATAAAAAAGTTTTCTGAGTTGAACGTGAACGTGTCACTAAATTATAGGAAATCTGCTATGAGATGAATTAAAATATTTATACAGGAAATGTAATCTAATACTTCTATATTGTAGGCAACCGGTCACCAAGAACACATTCCGACATTACCGTGTGCTTGGAAAAGGTGGATTTGGTGAGGTAAGTCCCTCTAATGAAGCTTATTCACTATTTTGGCATGATGGTAATGTACAGTGCAGCAAGTAATAAGCAGGACAACATTTGTGATCAGCTGCTGGTAATGTATAGTCTTGTTTAAATAATGTGTTGAGTGCAGTGACTTATAGTAACCAATCGAAAGGAGGGGGGCAGGGGAAGGGGTTGTTCTATACTTCTTACACACTTCCTGTCCTAGGGTGACAACACTTCTCCTTTTCCTAAACCCCAGTGAGTGTGTGTTGTCACCCTAGGACAGGATATGTTCTACTGGCAGGATAATTAGGTGAAAGGAGGAATCGTAAATAAAATAAAACTAATGCAGCCACCACATTGTGCTTATGATTAGATAGACTTTAACCCAGAAATATAATTCTGCTAACTGTAGGCACACTTGCGAGTGGAGTATACCGATTACATGCAGGAGACCCAGTAAGGGTTCTCTGTGGCCCATAGCCCCATTGAAAGCTAATCGCGGCCGCTCGCATGTAATCGTTTATTGAGCAAGAGCCTGCTAATGATCTGCCCTGGATACAGACAGTCTGCATCCAGGAACGATCATTCTCAGGTAATTGTTATAGGAGTGATTACATTTGAGTGTCCACTATTGACTGTGGAGCTGTCAGCCTCCCATTGCTTTTAAGGGGGCTGCTGCCCGCAGCCAATCCCCAGGAACCCCTACTGGGTCTCCGCATGTAATCGCTAATGGCCCCATTCGCAAATGTGAATGGAGCTTTAGTTTAGCCCATAGTCAGTGGACTAATACTAGTGCATTCCAGTCTATCCAAACACAAGCAGAATATGGTGGCTGCCTTAGTTTCCTTTTTTATAGGTTTCCATGTTCATTTTCACCTGGTGATCCTGCCAGTAAGCCAGGCCATATATTATCCCTTTTATTTTTTCTTCTTTTTTGTTCAGTCAGTGGGTTGAACTAAAAAAAAATGTATTCTGCTAGTGGGGAGCCTTACCCACCCGCAGAATACAATTATAAGTACTGCCGGCTATGGCTGGCAGGATTGATGATTCAGGAAACACTCAACAGGCTGGTACAATCAGATAACCCATACATGGATCAAAAGTCATCCAGTCCCTTCTCAACCAGCCCAATTTGCATCCATGTATGGCTGGCCTAACACATGTTCTGTCCTAGGTTGACAGCACTCACTAGAGTTTAAGAAGTGTTGTTACCCTAGGACTAGAACTATACTGTAGAACATTTCCACCCTCGCCTCTCCATAACATAGTAGCAGGGTGTTCTATAGTTCAGAGGTAGACTGATATCACTACTTAGCACAGCACTGTATTTCTAGAATGGTCCATTCTCAATTTTTTTTTTTTTTTTTTCTGCGCTAATTGAGCAGCCATAACAAAACACTTTTAGAGGTTTATAAAATGGATTAAAAGGGAGCAAATAGAGGATTTTTTTTCGGGTTTACATACAGTTTAATACATTTTGGCTTCTTGAATCGGCCCACTCGATTTCACTTGGCCGCAGTGGCCTGCCTGATCCACATTGTTGCTGTTCTGCCAGGTGTGCGCATGCCAAGTACGAGCCACTGGGAAAATGTACGCCTGCAAAAAGCTGGAGAAAAAAAGGATAAAAAAGAGGAAAGGAGAATCTATGGCATTAAATGAAAAACAGATTTTAGAAAAAGTGAATAGTCGATTTGTAGTAAGTATACCCCTTTTTTCCCGTCTCTCAAGTCAAAAAGTGTGCTTATGTACAGTTTTAAAGGTAACTTCTTGATTTATATATAATACCAGGACTCTCTCTGCTTCTTTCTGTCTATCTCTCCCTCCCTTTAAAGCTGAACTTCAGGAAAAATCAGTGCATGCACTGTTAGGTCTCTTTAAAGTAGTAGTAAACTGCAGCTAAAAAAATCCCCTGCAAGGCAATTGCAGAATGTGCTAGAAGCATCGAATACTAGCACATTATGAATTACCTTAGAACGAAGCCCTTTAGCAGCGTGCTGTCACCACTGATGGGGCTTCCTTCTTCTCATAGTCTTCCTTCCAGGTTTGTGAGCTCTGGCCATCTGACCGGCCGAGTCGAGATAACGTCACTCCTGTACGTGTGAATGGGAATCATGGGTCACGGCACAGTGAAAGAACAGCTTGGGTATGAGCGAATATCTCTTAAACCGTGCATGTTTAGGAGATATTCATTTTACCTACAGGTAAGTTTTATTATAAGCTTACCTGTACGTAAAAATCACAAAGTGGACTTCACTACCACTTTAACCACATGCCGTCCGCCTGCTGTTTATAAACGGCAGGACGGTGGCACTCCAGGGGCGGGTTGCCACTGGAGTCAGAAGTTGCCACTTCTAACATCATAGCTTACTATGTGTGAAATCTATGAATGATCACAGAGGTCACATGGTACAAGGCTATTCACAACAGCCTTGTACCATGTGACAAGCTGTGACCAATCACAGCTCACTCTGTAGTTCTCAATAGCTGCAAGAATGCAGACAGAGAGAAAGAGAAAATGATTGTTTTTACATCCTATATGGGTGTAAAAGTAATCACTGTAAAAAAAAAAAAATATATTCATCACCCCCAACAAGTAGTACAGTGTCACCATGGTGGCACTGTACTGCTAGGGTGACAGTATGTAAAAAAAAAAAAAAGAAAACATAAATAATAGTATAAAAAAAAAAAAAAAAAAAAAAATTTAAAAAAAGTTTAAAAATTATAATTTTTGGTTATAAACTAATTTTGGCTTATTTTTTTTTTTTTTTTTACTAAAAAGATAACGGAATACATTTTAGACAAGATTTATGATGAATGATTATTTATTTGCAAAATTTTATAAGAAAAACACTTTTTTTCAAAATTTTTGGACTTTCTCATTTACATAGCAAAAAAAATAAAAATCCCAGCAGTGAATAAATACCACCAAAATAAAGCTTTATCTGTCTCAAAAAAATAGTAAAAAATTAATATGGGTACAGTGTTGCATGACCGCGCAATTGTCATTCAAAGTGTGATAGCGCTGCTGAAAATTGCCCTGGACAGGAAGGGGGTAAAAGTGTCCGGACAGGAAGTGGTTAAGGGACAGTTCACACCACATGCAGTCCAGTGCATTTTTTTTTCCTGCATCAAAAATGCATTGATAGTAGGTTATATGGTTTCCAATGGCATAGTGTACACCAGTGCAGTCAGTTCCAGTGTGTTCCAGTTCCAGAAAAAAAACTAAAGTAGAAAAAAATTTTTCTGCACTGAACTGTACTGGAAAGAGGTAAAACACAGCTGCATAAAAAAAGGGGAAAAAAGGTTCCACAAATGCATAAAAAATGCACTGAAATGCATCAAAATCATGTAAACAAAAAATGCACATGCAAAAAACAGTCTGGATGCGTTTTCTGCATGTGAATTTTTGACGCGTTCCGGTGCCTTTTTGATGCCTTCCAGTACATTTTCTCCCCCTCTTGTCTTCAACTTAAATAAGGACGTGTGTTCCGGTGTGTTTCAGCCTCTCATTGCTTTCAATGGTGCTGTAGGTCACAGGAAACCCTTACTGGGTCTCATGCATGTAATCAGTAACACCCCAATGGTGTGAACTGGCCCTTAGGCATCATTCACACAGGCACATACTACAGCATACACCCGTGAGAGGGCCTTGTTTGCCCGAATGGGGATAAGCAAGTGTTCTGTGCATCCCCATGCAGGCAGTCCCATTCATGTCAACTGAGATGCAGCAGCTGCATGGACTCCGCTTCTACTATTATTTGACATCCGTATGGGTGGGGGTGCATGGCCCTGAATGCACACTGTCCATGTTTGAGGTCATGCACCCGCACAGCTGTCAGATTGGGAGCAGCAGCTGTGTCCATGCAGCTGCTGCATCCCAACTGACATGAATAGGACTGTCTGTATGGGGATGCACAGAACACCTGCATATCCACACTCAGGCAAGCCTGGCCCTCTCACAGGTGTATTATGCCCATGTGAATGAGGCCTCAAAGAGGTTGTTCAATCTGTAGAAAAAACATATTCTGTAGCTGCTGACTTTTAATCTAAGGACACTTACCTGTCCAGGGATCCAGCACGGTCCTCATCTGAGCCACATATTGGCCGGTTTTTTGGTCCTTGATGCCGATAGGTCTAGTGTGGGAAGCCAGCAGTGACTCCTTGCGGCTTCCCACTGTGCATGCTTGAGTCCTGTGATATGTCTCAAGAAGTTGCATGTAGCGAGGTGGAGGGAGGACACAACTTTCGGCACCAGTGCCTAGGTGATTTTAACAGAAATGGGAGCGGGTACTTGCCAAACATGGGTTCCCATCTCCTCCCCTCAAAAAAACAAACCTGCAATTTTGTTAGGTGGGGGAGGGGGTATTCTTTAAAGAGGAACTTCCCATTTAGGATGAAGTTCTGCTTTAATTGAATCTTGGGGTCCACATATGTGCAGTAACCCAGCATGGAAGTCCTGTTCTTTTGCTCTGTTCTGGAGCTTCCTATAATAAAGACCGATTACTGCTGCTCACTCTTCTGCCTGTTAATGGGCTTGTGCAGGCCAGTCAAGCTCCTCCACCCCAAACTCACTCATCCATGTCTTTATGGACCTTGCTTTGTGCACTGGTGCTCAGTCATGTTGGAACAGGAAGGGGCCATCCCCAAACTCTTCCCACAAAGTTGGGAGCATGAAATGTCTTGGTATGCTGACGCCTTAAGAGTTCCCTTCACTGGAACTAAGGGGCCAAGCCCAACCCCTGAAGAACAACCCCACACCATAATCTCCCCTCCACCAAACTTTACACTTGGCACAATGCAGTCAGGCAAGTACTGTTCTCCTGGCAATGGGAACGTGAATTTCATTTAGCCGTTGTTCATACTGTGGAACCATGTGTGACTTGCACAGGAATCGCACTGCATTACTTTGCAAATCACATGCGATTCTGTGCAGTGTGATTTGCGCCCATTTATTTTGTATGGCTCAAATCATTATTATTATTATTATTATACAGGATTTATATAGCGCCAACAGTTTGCTCAGTGCTTTACAATATAACGGGAGACAATACAGCAACAATACAGTTCAATACAAGAGGGAAAGGAGGGCCTGCTCCTTGGAGCTTACAATCTAGGAGGGAGGGGCTAGTGGTACAAAAGATAGTAACTGTGGGGGATGGACTGGTTGAAAGAGTAGAAGATTCCAGTATTAGCTGAGGGCAGGATAGGCTTCCCTGAAGAGAGAGGTTTGCAGAGATCGCCTAAAAGTGAGCAGAGTAGGCGATTGTCTGATAAATTGGGTAGAGAGTTCCAGAGGATGGGGGAAGCTCTGGAGAAGTCCTGGAGACGAGCATGGGAAGAGGAGACAAGGGAGCTAGAAAGTAGGAGGTCTTGCGAGCAGCGGAGAGTACGGTTTGGGTAAATCACACTGCATCCACACAAAAAAGGAGCAGGCACCTTTTTTTGCCGCACTGGAATTGGATTGTGTGCATGCCAATACCCTTGTGATCCAATTCAGGCAAAAATACCACATTTTCAACTTGCTTTTGGGGTGTTATTAACCTAACATTGACACCTGCAGCAGATTGCATGAACACAGTGCGGTTGCTCTGCGGTTTCAGGAAACTGACAGGGATTGCTTTGTTTCCAGATTAAAGGTGGTCTCATTGCACAGGGTAGTTAGCAGGTGAATAAGGATTAGTTCCAAAGCTTGCAAAGACAAGTCCTTACTAACAAAGTGAAGCCAGTGTCAGAGGGGCACACAGAAGAATCTTTTCTGAAATATCAATCTAATAGCGGGCACCTTGTGATGCCACTCTTCTACACTGGCGGCCGATAAAGACAGGCGGCTGAGCCACTTCTTTTTTTTTTTTTTTTGTTGTTGTTTTTTAAGGTAATTTTTATTAGAAAGTTTTCTACAAGGCTTTTATTTTACAATCTTTGCAATCAAAAATAACCAAGCGAAAGGTCAGCTATTCAGCAATCCCAGGAAAAAAAGAATGAAAGGAGCAGTCATGCTAGGTAAAGGTAAAGATAATAAAGCCAACACTGGGTTAGACAAACAATAACTACCTGGGGCACTAATCGTGTGAAGAAGTTGTCTCAAGACTTGCCAGTTAGAGAGTATGTAAAACATGTCATTACAGTGTCGTGTCTTATGAAACTAAAGCCTGTGGTACCGATCTTTAAACATGATCCGAATGCTGAATTAAATACCGCGTCAACCATGAACAGGATGAACTTAAAGTAGAGCTACAGACAAAACTTCTTTTTTTTTTTTTTTTTTTTTTTTTTTTAATTTTGGATAGAGTAAGGCCCCTTTCACATGGGGCGTTCCATATGTCTGTTTTTCATCTGTCCATTTACAGATGAAAAACAGGTCTCCATGTATTTCTATGGACTAGCGGATGTAAACGGGTGATCATCTTTTTACATCCGTTAATGTCCGTATCTATTAACAACCAGTTTTTTGGAATGGAAGAAAACCCTATATTTCTTCCGTAAAAAAAAAAAAAAAAGGAACAGATGGTAAATGGATGGTAAAATGGACATAAACGGATGAAAAAAACAGATGTAAACTGATGGAATAAAATGATGTAAGCTGATGGAAAAACGGATGTAAACTGATCCGTTTTTACTTGGAAAAAAAATGACTGAACTGATTAAAAAAACGGAACGCCCGTGTGAAAAAACGGAACGCCCGTGTGAAAGGGGCCT